GATAGGGAGATATGCACAGTTGTTTGCTCCCTCAGGTATTAATACATACTCTGAGTAAATTACTAAATAAAAAGTGATTTTATTAAATACAGACAGTAGGATTTAAGTGGTTCAAAGTAGTAACAGGCAGAACAAAGTAAGTCACCAAGCAAAATAAAATAAAATGCGCAAATCTATGTCTAATCAAGCTAAATACAGATAATCTCACCCTCAGAGATGTTTCAGTAAATTTTTTTCAGACTGGACACCTTCCAGGCCTGGGCACAATTCTTTCCCCTGGTACAGCTCTTGTTCCAGCTCAGGTGGTAGCTAGGGGATTCTTCATGATGGCTTCTCTCCCCTCTCTTCTGTTCCACCCCTTTATATATCTTTTGCATAAGGCGGGAACCCTTTGTCCCTCTGGGTTTCCACCCCCCCTCACTGGAAAAGCACCAGGTTAAAGATGGATTCCAGTTCAGGTGACATGATCACATGTCACTGCAAGACTTCATTACTCACTTGCCAGCACACACATATACAGGGAGACTCACAGGTAAATACAGCCATCTGCAGACAATGGGAGTCATCAAGATTCCAAACCATCCTTAATGGCCCACACTTTACATAATTACAATAGGCCCTCAGAGTTACATTTTATATTTCTAGTTTTAGATACAAGAGTGGTACATTTATACAAATCAGATGATCATACTCAGTAGATTATAAGCTTTGTAATGATACCTTACAAGAGACCTTTTGCATGAAGCATATCCCAGTTACGTTACATTCACTTATTACCGTATTTTCTCTAAAACTATCCCAGTTACATTATATTGACTTATTATCAAGTTTTTATAAAACCATATAGACTGCACAACGTCACAGATATTATATACAGAAAAAGAACAGGAGTACTTGTGGCACCTTTCGGAGAAGTGGGCTGTAGCCCACGAAAGCTTATGCTCTAATAAATTTGTTAGTCTCTAAGGTGCCACAAGTACTCCTGTTCTTTTTGCGGATACAGACTAACACGGCTGCTACTCTGAAACCTGTCATTATATACAGAGAAATGTATTTTTAAGGCAAAATCTTAAATAATTTGTCATGTCCAGGAGAACAGGTTATAAACAGAGTTTTAATTAATTGTTAAAATTTGGTCCTTCAGACTCATTTTCAACTAAAAAAAAAAAAGTTAATGTAGCAAAATATGTTTATGTATTAAAATTCTGATCATACTATGCATAATTCACTCAATAAAGAACATTTCCTCCAAGTTAGTGAGAGAGACTTTGCACTGATGTTGGTAGGACATAAATTCTGCAAATCTACATCCACAGTATGTGTGTCTTAACTAAGGCAAAAAGATACTATGGATACTCAAAATATTTTGAAACTATAATGAGCAGTTTGTGTATTTTCCCCTGGCTAGTAAAACTCAGTCATAAAGGCTTTATAGCATTATAGTATGCAAATCCTACTAAGTTGGCAAATTAGTAGTTTGTTGAAGTTTATTCTGGCTTTCTCCACACTCCCTATTTACAAAAAATAGGAGTGTTTTGCTCATGCAAGCTCTTGGATTGACAACTTTGGAGACTAAAGTTTTCTATTAAGCTAGTTGGAGCATTTTGTTGACTTGATCGATGATCTCCCTAAACAAGAATGTCAAAGTAATTTTCCTTTGATACAAGAATTGTATAGTTGGGGATGGAGGGTAGGAGATAGGACATTTTATGCTATGTGTTTGAAATAGTAGTATGACAGGGATCTTGTTTTAAAAACATTTTTTGCTCTGAGTCAACAGAATAAAACTAATTTTGAAATCTTTTGCTTTTGGAAGGAATTAATTTATGTCCACCCAGAGATTCATTTTAAGGGAAAATAACATGAGGGCTGCTTGTTATTAGATTCCTCAGATGTTTATTTTGAAGCTAGATATTTAATCAGAAGTTTCTGTAGAATTTATTTGCAGGTGCAAGAGAAGTGGATCTGATTTGGAGGCAGGTACCAGGATATTCAGGTTGCCTTTCTCTTCTAAGTCACTGGCTTGAATCCAGTTTATAGAGGATAGTATTCAGGAGTCCTGAGCATCTGATGATTCTTTAACCTTTGTGAAATGAGCCTGTGGCCTCTGTCCATTTGCTAGTGGACACATATCACAAAATCACTGTCACAATTGACTCACTATTTGCAGTCTTATCAGAAAAGCCAAGGATTTAAACAGAAATGATCTTCCACACTGTCTTTAGAAGTGCCTCTGCCAAAACAGGTTTTAGACATGCTATTTTACTAGTGATATGAGAAGCTTGCTTGTGCTGTATCTCTGCTGTGCATAAACAGAACCTAAGGTAAGGGGTTTAAAGTCTTCTCAGGTTGGAATTCCCTGTGCCTCTTGTGAGGGACCTGCATTTGATTGTCATCATATCCACAGTGCTACACACCGTGTGTGGATGCATCTCACTTGGTTTTGGTCCATTCTCTCTCCCTGTCTTATCTTTGTTTGTTCTTTTTTCCTTTTCATCTCAATTCTCTGTGTTTTTGTGAGCTTTGCTTTCCATTTTTCATTCTTATTTTTGTTCTTTGTGCTTCTTCCTCCTAATAACTTTTTCCTAGGTCTCTTCATCTGAGTCTTTCTGACCCACTTCTTGGTCTCCCTCCCTTTCTTCCAGCTGCAAACTCTTCTGGTTTTAAATTTTCCCTACTTTCCCTCCTAGTTGTTTCCTTATTTCCTCTCTTTTCCTCCTCCTTCCCTTCATTCTCTTCCAGTTCCCCCCTCTCCCTTTTCTCCTAGTCCACTTTGCGTGCTATCCTCTTCCTCTCACTTCAGCTCCCAGCCCTTGCTTTGCTCTTCCTTTATTTCCCTCTCTTATTTAACAATGCTAGGAGGACATGAGGTGCTCCTGTAGGTGTTTAGAAGAGACATGCTGGGAAGGGACCTTGGTCATTTTTCCTTTGCAAAAGTGCTTTAAGGAAACTTCTGCTAGGTGCCTTAATGTAGGTGTTTTAATGGAGTTACATTGGTGTAAAACTCTTTGATCTGGTGCCTTAGAGGCTGCCTATGCCTAAATCAAGCCCTGTTGCTACCTTCTAAACATGTGTGATGAGCCACCCCATTGTGTAAATCAGTTATTTGTAAATAGTCTAGTATTAGAATTCAGGAATCTTCTACAGGATGGTAATTGTGAATATTTGGGTATGAAGTACTGTAAGTTTATAGGGACTAAGATGATGGGCAATGAGGAGGTTGCATGTAATTACTGGCACTAGGGCTCAGTTTTGACCATTGGCTCAAATTATGCACTATAAATCAACACCCAATGATAAACAATCCTCCAAACTAAACTACGATGAAATCTAGATAAGAGAACATCATTATGAGGCAGCCTTCAGTTTCAGAAAAAGCTCCAAAACATCCCCAAATGTTTTGAATATAATTTTGCTCTACATTTAGTAGCAGCCTATTTCAGTTAACTAACAGTTTTTTTAAAGTATCAGAGGGGTAGCCGTGTTAGTCTGAATCTGTAAAAAGCAACAGAGGGTCCTGTGGCACCTTTAAGACTAATAGAAGTATTGGAGCATAAGCTTTCGTGGGTGAATGCATTACTTGTGTCTGATGAAGTGGGCATTCACCCACAAAAGCTTATGCTCCAATACTTCTGTTAGTCTTAAAGGTGCCCCAGGACCCTCTGTAGTTTTTTTAAAGTAACTTATCGTTTTAAAGTAATACTGGGCTTGATTCATCATGGCAGTACTTCAGTTTTACTGTGGGATAAACAAAGAACCTTTGGTCTTAATGGAGTTACATTGGTGTAAAACTGGAGTAGCAAAGTAGTGATGTAGTTACACAGTCATAAAACTGGTGATTCAGTTTGTAAACTTCTGTAGGATTATTATAAACATAATACTGAACTTTTATACTTTTTTTTTTTTTTTACTTTTAAATACCTTTGTTCCAGAATTGTTGGGTGTGCTAAAAGTAAATGAAAAATATAGGGAAAAAATCAAAAAGCATAAATCAAAAGTAAATATTCATTGGCACATGTGAATATCTAATATCCAATATTCACTATGTATATTTAAAAAATAAATGACAGCAAAAGGATTTTACATCTTACTACACTGATACAAAAGCACTCAAAATATCTTTAAGTAACTGATTTTGTTGGTCCCTTGAGTAGTTGCTTAAGATATATTTCATTGAAGCAACATTTCACTGCCCAGCTCAGTAGACAGGCCTGCTAGGTGTGGTTCTCTGTCCCCTTCTATGGGCAATTAACCCAGCTAGAGATTAATGAGCCTTAGCTAAGAACCATGTGGCTTTTAGCTTATGCAGTAGAGGCTCATACTTCAGAGGTCCCAGGTTTGATCCCGCCCGGCGACGACCAGGGTCTGTCAGCATTACAGTAAGAGGTGGTTTGAGTCTTGTCGCCATGTGCTTGATTGCTGCTTATGTGCTTTAAGGGCCTGAACCTACCACTCTTGCGTATACAAAGTAGTCATTTACTACATTGATTTCAATGGGACTACTTGCGTTCAGTGAGGTACCACCCAATGTGAGTGTCAGAATTGTGTCTTTCCTTCACTTTGACTCAATAAAGGAATACTTTGTGAACATGGAACAAGTTAACCATATTTGGAGTTTTTATTGTTTTAACTTTTAATATTTAGTTTTACATTCTGTGCTTGAAATATTATCAGATTTTTAACAAAAATATATTGCACAAAAAATTTCCAGTGTTTGTTTTGATGCTGTTTTGTTTCCTGGATTAAATAGTTTTTTAGATAAACACCTACGATAACTAATTCTTTCTACAGAAAAATGTGTTCAATTTAATTGTTATATAAGGGTAAGATCCTCCAAATGCTTCCTAATGGAAATAGTACTTACTACCATGCTAAGTCCCATTGACTCAGATTACTTAAGCATTGATGTGTGCAGGATTAAGCCCTTCATTTTCAGTTGGATTTCATGTGCTATATTATGCTGTATATGTCACTTAATGTTGTTGTTTTTGTTGAAAAAGTGTGCAGTCCGTGCAGCTACAGAAGGCAGAATCCTTGTGTTGGAGGGTTTGGAGAAGGCAGAACGGAACGTCTTGCCTGTGTTAAACAATTTGTTGGAAAACAGAGAAATGCAGCTTGAAGATGGGCGCTTTCTTATGTCTGCAGAACGTTATGACAAGCTGCTACAGGTACAGGAAAGCATTATGTTGTTTTGAATTTGTGTCTGTTTTTGACAGGGAAGTGACCCTATTAACAATATAAGAGCTGTCCTGAGATAAACAGGGTACATCCCATGGAGGTGTTTCCACCTGTGTGAGGATGTGACTCAAGATGATAGCTGGCTAAGTGAAGGTCATGGGTGAAATCAGCCACTCCGTCATTTAAAAATATTTTTAAAAAATGTCTCCTGAATGTCCTTTATTCTCATAGAGAGAGACTGGTTACTAATTCTGAAGTGAATTCTACTTACTTCTAGCAAATGCATGCTATTCTGATTCACGAAGAAAAACATTTAGAAAGCCCTCTAAAAATCAATGAATGTCTGAAAACAAATGATTAAGGGATGCAATGCATTCCTTGCTGCCATATAATCCTTCGCTCAGAGGTGAAAATAAGCCGGTATGGGCCGGTTCGGCCTACCGGTAAGAAAGTGGCTGCTGGTATGGGCTGGTACACAGCTGACATTAAAGCGCTGCCATGGCAGGGCTTTAAGCACTGTACTGGCAGGGTTGCTGATCGCGGGGGGGGGGGCAAAAGGAGCAGCGGCCCCGGGGCTCCCTTTAAAGCGGCATCTGAGCCCCGGGTGGCATGGGCTGGGCAGTGCTGAAGGGCTGGCTGGGGGAATCTGGCCCCAGCCCCGCCCCTTCCACTCGAGGCCCCGCCCCTTCCAGGGGCCCAGAGCCGCCCCCCCCTCCTTGCCCAGGACCCTGGCCGCCCTGCATACCAATAAGCCCTTTAAGTTACTTTCACCCCTGCCTTCACTCATCCTATAATTTGCAAAAATATGTGCAAAAGGCCAGTATAAATTACAGGGAGATTATTGGAAATTGATCCCTTGAATAGGAAATGGGATTTTATAATTTCCAGCTGATGAATTTGACCTTTGGTACATTTTTTCAAGTTTTATGAGGCAAAATTAAGTTTGAGCAGGTTGTTTGCCAGTCCTTTGTACTCTACTTCCATGCCCATGGTTTCCTGTCCCATACCCTGTCAGTTTCCTACCATCCACCTGACTCTTACCTATCCATATTTCTTCATATTATATCTACCCCCATCAGCCAGATGAGCAGTAGCTTGTCAGTTTATAATCATTTTAAAATAATTTTAGACTTTTTGGTCTGCATATTTCTGAAACACCTCTGTATGAACATGGCCAGTCTGTAACTTCAGGGGACAGAAAAGCTGAGGTGGGAAATACAAACAAAACATTATAGCTTCTCACGTAGAGGTGCACATACCTCTGTACAAAGCGTGTTTCCACCAGGCGTAATGTACAGGGAGTTAGAACTGGGGCTTTCTTCTACCAGGTTCAAAAAACCCAGCAAACAAGAAATAGCTTAAGCTTGCTTTAAGCAAAGGGGGGAAAAATACAATCCTTCATTTCAAGTCTCGTAAGTAGTGTGTATAGTTCATTGGCTTCTCAATTCTTCATTGCTTCCTGTCCCTGTAGCATGGCCAAACTGGGCAAGTATTCTGTTCTTTCTTTTCCCCTCAGCATTTCAACTGCTCCTTTTTCTAACCCTGTCTTAGTGTGGGATATCAATTATTATGAGCTAATACAAGTTAGAAAAGTTAACTTCAGATCAATTTGAAAAATGTGACTTTAAATGTCCTTATTCTAATCTTTACTAAACTTCCCATAAAACTTCAGTGCTGAGATGGAACCTCATCAGGCTCAGCTTACATGAGTCATAAGAAGGAAAATCGCAAATAGAGCTCTGTGAATAATTGATTTTTCAGTTCGCTGGCCAAACCAAAAAGTTGAAAAGAATAATTTCGGATCAATCTGAAACAAAAATTTTTTGGTCCCTTCAGCAAAACAGCAAAAAAAATTCAGGTCTAGCAAAATTTTCTGTTGCACCAAAATGTTTAATTTGGATTTGGGGTGTTTTTAAGTGCCTTTTTAAATAAAAGGAAAGGCAATTTGGGAACACCATTCACAAAACCACCACAGGATGAAGAGATGGTGTCTTTGCCCTGATACTATATAGTTCTATGGGTAGAGGACTCACCTGGGATGTGGGAAACCCAGGTTTAAGTCCCCACTCTGTCTGATTCAGAGCAACATCTTTAACTTGGGTCCTTCCACTTTGCAGGTGTGTGTCCTAACCACCAGGCTATAGGGTATTCCAGGGTGAGTCTCGCCCAGTTTCTTCTGTTGAAGCTGTTTCACTTTGTATTAAATAATTAAATATTCATGGGGCCAGAGAGAGAGAGAGAGAATGGTGGTTAGGGGACTCACTTGGGAGGGGGAGTCCTGGGTTCCAATCCCTGCTCCAGTGACTATTTAAGTATTTTACACAAAGTGGAACAGCTTCAATAGGAGAGATTGAGAGAGGGCTATTCCAGAATACCATATATGGTTATGGTATTCATCAGGGACGGGGGAGATCTAAGTTCAGGTCCCTGTTCTGAATCATGCAGAGCAGGGACTTGAATCTGGTCTTCAGCATTCCAGGTGACTGCTCTAACCATGAGGCAATAAGGCGTAAGGGGGCCACCACCCCAAACTCCTACTCCTTCTTCCGTTTCATGAAACTACCTTGAAAATATTTTGGCAGAAACTATTTGGCAGATTTGTGTTGAATTCATGAATAGTTTCAGTTGACCTAAAACTGCATTTTTCAACAAATAAACTTTGTCCAAATTTTTGCGCCCTACTCCAACTTAAATACACCCACGCTCCTACATATTATTGCACAACATTGCCCACTGAGCCATTAAATACTGTAACTCATTTCTGAGACATTTGTGGTTGTTGGTTATGCCTTTTTTTGCTTTTAGAGTAGTTCTGATCCATTCCAGTCTGTTTCGGTTAGGAGAGGTAACTTATGAAAATGTAATTAACATATTGAAGTACAAAATGTGGTTATTTATCATAGCTACATTTAAGGAGGAGACATGAAAACTGACCTTAAATTCAAATAGGAATTGATTGAGATTGTGCAGTACGTTTTTTGTACCTTGCTAATGATAAAATGGCTCTAAATTGGCCCCTTAGGTATACTGCTAATGTTATCTGATTTGAATAAATCTCACAGTGATACTAAATCTAATATTGTTGTTTTGTTGTTTGGGGAATATTGTATTACATAAGTTATGGCTCATTTTCTGTTCTTCTCTGTGAATCATTATTCTGGCATTGGGTCTGCACGAAGTAGTCATGTACAATTTGAAGCAAGACTTGATTGTAATGTGGGAAGACTGCAGAACTGTCTTCTTTGTCCACGATGAGTCTTTTCCTGGCAACGTGATTGAAATATACAATATGAAATAGATATTCTCTTCAGAAAAGAGTACAGTGATAAACCTGTATTGTTATTACTTGTGGTAGAGCATATTATATACAAACAAAATGTTCTCTTATTCAGAGGAGCATCCCTTCATTATAGTTAAAAAAAACCCAAACTTGCTAAAGTTAGACTTTTAATTCTATAGAAGAAAATAGATAACACAGTTTCATTGTTTTTTCTCTTCTTTATATAGAGAAAGATATTTGTAACTCTAATTCATAGCTTCCAAACTTCGAGCATCTGTGGAAATCCATCATTAGTTTGCCTGAAGGCTGAACTCAGTGAAGCATATTTCAGCCACCCTTACCTTAGAAAGCCTCGATAATATGATCTACCAATTGAATACCTTAAATCAAGATGGAACATTTCATCCTGGCCCCTCTGTGTTAAAGATGAGGGAAGTGGAAGACCAAATTTAACTGAAAGACCACTCTTTTAATCCCTCCCCTATAGGTCTTCAGTCTGTAGCTCAGGCATCAGGGCCTTCATTAAAAGATGTCATTGCATTCTAATTACTACTTTATTTTAATTGATCCAGGAACATACTAAAACTGAGTTAGATGCATGGAAGATTGTTCGAGTAAGTGAAGATTTTCGTGTGATAGCACTGGGCCTGCCAGTACCTAGATATTCTGGTAACCCATTGGACCCTCCTCTTCGTTCTAGATTTCAAGCAAGAGATGTTTATCATCTACCCTTTAAGGTAAGTGCCATTGTAGATCAATTAGAGCTTGTTTACAGAGCAGGACAAATTGACATTTTTAATCTTGTATTTTACATATTATACATTCAAAAATTAATCATTGAACATGAATAAAACATGTTGACCCTTTTTTGGGATGGAGTCATATTGATGCCCAGTAATTACTTAAAAGAAAGAGATAATCTCCAAAGGATAAGTTCATGGAGGATAGGTCCATCAATGACTATTAGCCAGGGTGGGCAGGACTGAAAACCATACTCTGAAGTGTCCCTAGCCTCTGTTTGCCAACAGGGGATGGATCACCTGTTCTGTTCATTCCCTCTGAAGCACCTGGCACTGGCCACTGTTGGAAGATAGGATGCTGGGATAGATGGACCATAGGTCTGACCCAGTATGGCTGTTCTGATGTTTTTATTTTGTAACTAAAATTAATTTCAATAAAACAATATAATCCTAAAACAAAGATATGCTAACCTTTTTTCTTCTTTTAGAAAATTAATTGTGTGTGCCAAGACCAGGCTCTTTGCTACAAAAGGCTCGGTGTCTAATTAGATGAGAAATAGAAAATATCTTGCACAGTATGCACTGTGATCCATGGTATAACCAGAAATTAATTTGATATGTGATGCTATGTTCTATTTTCAGGACCATCTTAAGCTATTATACTCAGTTGGATCAAATGTTTCTGCACAGAGGTAAATTTTCATAATTACAAAAAAGTAAGGTTGAGCGGCTAAATGTTATGTCCTGTCAGGATTGTTTGCTATTTGATCAGAACTGAGTAAATTTTTAGTAAGTATGGGAATATGTTTAAACAGTTTTTCATATATAATTATAGTTTTCATATTGTGAGTCCTTAATTCTTTATAACTTTATTAGATAAAATTTACTTGTATTCAGAAGTTGCTTCAACATCTTATGCTGTGTTTAGCTTCATAGGGCTTAAAATTTTAAAGTATGTTTTGCAAGTATAAAACAGTACAATTTCTTGTTTATTTTCCAGAATCTCTCAGCTCTTGTCTTTTGCTACAACTCTCTGCTCCCAGGAATCTTCTATGCTGGGACTTCCAGATTTTCCTTTAGACAGTTTATCAGCTGCAGTTCAGATTCTGGTATGTGCACGTAACTGTGAAGTGAAATTTTAAAAGTGAGGAATTTCCTCAGATACAATTTGAACGGTTCATATCTTATTACAGTGTCTTTGGAACTACTAGATTAATAACACTAAAAAAATGTGTCTCTCTCTTAATTGGATCTCTTTGGACACATCCTTAATTGGATCTCTTTGGGCACCATAACGTCTGCAGAGATCCAGATGTAAGATCAGGAGCTAAATTAGTATGCATCATGAGACAAGAAAGATTTCAGCAGAGCTTCGTGTATCTTGGTGTATTGAACAATGATTAGATTCAGTGAATTCATTAGGTGTTAACCAGTTAGGATTAGGATTAACCAGTTGATTTAGAATTGATTTAGGTGTGTTTATTTGGGGGGGGAGGAATTTGTGACAATTTCTCTCAAAGAAACTGACTTATTGATACCACATAAAAACTACGAAGTGATAAGCACAGAAATTAGACCAATTTATAGTATGCTTTAGGAAGGGAATATATGTTGGATTTTTAAATACATTATAGCATTTTATTCTTCTAGCTCTGTAGTGAAAATGACTTTTAAATGAATGTCAGACTGCTTCCAAAATAGTGGAAATAAAGTGTTCCCTCAGCTATTTATCTGACCTGAGGGGTGAAGGAAGAATTTTATTTTATGTTAAAAAATGTAGTGTGTTATCATTGTGTGCCAGTTTCTGGTCTATTTATAGCTTCCTAAACCAGGTTCTCAACTTTTTCCATACTGTGGCCCTGTTCCCCTCTGGGACCTTGGGTTCCTCCCCTCATCTGGCTGGGACCATTAACCATTTAGCAATATGGGAAAGGCAAGGTGGTTGCTTGCGCCCCACCTCCCAACATATGTTTGCAAGCTCCTGCAGGGCCACGACTCCCAGACTAAAAACCCCTATCTGAAACAGAAGGCTTTTTCTAGTGTGGAGTGATGAGGAGGCTAATCTCATCTGTGCCATTGTAATTATGTTCTCTTTGAGATATTGTAGGCAAAGTATATGGTGTCCCTTACAGAAAGAGCTTTTTAAATGCAATAAAGCTAAGTGAATGGCTGATCACCTGAGCAGTACATTTTATCTAGAATGTGCTCCAATGGATGATTTTTACTACATCCATTTATAATGCTCCAGATTCAAGGAGCATCACTGAACAACAAAATGAGTTGAGTTACATATTTCAAAAAAATATTCTTGTGCCAGGATAGTTCATTGCTGTTTTGCCCATATACATTGGGGATATGTGCAAACAAAAGGAACTAGAGAATTTTGAGTGAAAAATCTATTTTGTTTTATTTAGGGCTTGATTATGCAACCATTATTCACCTTGGTGAGCACTTAAACAAGTAGTTCTTCGAGTGCTTGCTCATGCCAATTCCAAGTGAGTGTTCATGCACAGTCGTTGGAAGGTTTTTCCCCTAGCGGTACCCGTCGGGTTGGCTGTGGAGTCTCCTGGAGTCACGCCTTCATGGCAGTGTACGTAGGTCCCTGCCTACCCGCTGCCTCTTCAGTTCCTTCTTACCGCCCGTGACGGTCATTGGAGCTGCTTCTTCTCTCTTGCTATGGGAAGCGATCCTCTAGTGATCTTTGTCTTTGTACCTGTAAATAGTTAACTTAGTATTAGTTAGTGTTTCAAGTAGTTTTTATAGTTGGTTAGATAAGTTTCTGTTAGGGTTTCCCCACACTGCGTTCTTTCCCTCCTGGGGACTCTCTCCTGGGGACGCTCTCCAGACCGACAGGTGCAAGATCTGCAAAGGCTTCCGCCCAAGATCCAAAAAGGAGAGAGATTTTAGGTTAAAACTACTCATCATGGAGTCAGCTCTCTGTCCCCAGCCGGCACAGCCTGCGTCAGACCCAAAGTCCAGCACTTTGATGCGGAGCGAACCAGCTTTGGTGAGAGAGACTCTGGGTCCAGAGACCCCTGGCACCGCCACTCCCTGGCACCGAAGAACTCCACTGTGACTACCCGGCACCGCTTGCACTCTCCAGTGCCGCACAAGAAGCAGAAGAGAGCCAAGAGGGGGCGTTCGCTCACAATTAGAGCAGTGGAGCATGAAAGCGATAGCGGAGTGCATCCCGTGCCTGGACACTCAGCCCGTGCTCCGGCTAAACCGGTACCATCAACTCCGGCCCTGCAGAGAGATCTGTTGAGTCTGGTACTGGTGGACTCCCCTGCGCGGGATAGTTTGGTCGAGGATCTGGATCTTCCGTCCACCCCAGACATATTCGAGGCGGCCAGGGACCTCATAGCTATGACAGCTCAGCAGGCACCGGCACTGCAAACAAGCGCCGTGCCATCCAAGGGCAAACCAGCCATAATGCGGCACCGGTCGCCCTCCCCTCGACACCACTTCCCGGCACCACCCCATTTGGCACCCCTGTGGTCACCGAGATCGGATTAGATGACCTCCTGAGGTCCCTTCCAACCCTGATATTCTATGATCGGAGTCATTTAGACTCAGAGCCAGAGTCGTATGTCTCAAAATGGAGTCGGCAATGTTACTCCCACTTAGAGGATAGGGTTCATTGGAGCTCTCCTAGACTCAGGTCAAGCCAAAGCATTCCTTCCAGAATCGTGTTTTTTGACCATGGGCACCATCATAGAGGGCTTACAATGATACCCCACTGCTATGGCACGAAATTGCCTGAAGCTGCTCAGTCATATGGCTGCTTGTACATATGCAGTTCAGCACGCGAGACTGCGGCTCCGATCTCTTCAGGCCTGGCTAGCCTCAGTATACAGGCCAATCCGAGACCGCCTAGACAAGATAGTCACTCTTCCTTCTCCAGTTATTGAGTCCCTCCTGTGGTGGCAAGCGGTGTGTGCAGGAGTACCCTTCTCCAGGCTCCAATCCTCGCTGTCTCTAGTCACGGATGCATCGGCGATGGGATGGGGAATGCACCTTGGAAGACTCAGGACTCAAGGTCTCTGGTCCCAGGCAGAACTTTCACTGCACATCAATGTCAGGGAGCTAAGAGCGGTTCGCCTTGCTTGCCAGACATTCCAAACCCATCTGGAGGGCAGATGTGTATCGGTATTGAGCGACAATACAACAGCGATATTCTATATAAATAGATAGGGCGGTGCTCGCTCCTCTCCCCTATGCCAGGAAGCCTTCAAACTGTGGGACTTCTGCATTGCCTACTCAATACATCTAGAGGCATCGTACCTTCCAGGCTCTCAGAACGAGCTGGCCGATCATCTCAGTAGGTCCTTTCACAATCACAAGTGGTCACTCCAACCGGATGTCGTGATCAACATCTTCCAACGATGGGGATTTCCCCGGATAGACTTGTTCGCAACAAGGCACAATAGGACATGTCAGCAGTTCTGTCCCTTCCTGAATCAAAGCTTGGGCTCGCTTGCAGATGCTTTTCTTCTCCCTTGGAAGGATCACCTGCTGTATGCATTCAAGCCCTTCCTGCTTGTACACATGGTCCTGCTAATGGTCAGAAGAGAGGGCGCATCAATGATCTTAATAACATTAGCATGGCCATGTCAGCACTGGTTCACCACACTCCTAGACCTGTTGGTGGACATGCCCATAACTCTGCCGCTGATCCCAGACTTGATCATACAGGACCACGGCCAGCTCCAGCATCCTAATCTAGAGTCTCTCCCCCTCACAGTGTAGAAACTCCATGGCTAAACCCCTTGGAGCTCACATGCTCACACCCTGTTAGGATGGTTCTCCTTGGCAGCAGGAAACCATCCACTAGAGCCACTTATTTGGCTAAGTGGAAGAGATTCTCTATTTGGTCATTACAAAAGGACACTCCACCTTTGCAGTCATTGATTCCCTTTATCCTGGACTATTTATTACACCTGAAACAGCAGGGCCTGTCAGTGTCATCAGTAAAGGTGCACCATCTCAGTTTTCCATTCGGGTTCGGCTGGCTGGTTGGTTTTCGGCAACCCTATGGTTTGCCACTTCCTCAAAGGACTAGATAGACTGTACCCTCAAGTAAGATCGCCAATCCTCCCAGGGATCTCAACCTGGTACTCTCAAGACTGATGGGTCCTCCCTTTGAGCTCTCTTGTCTACCTTTCCTGGAAAGTAGCGTTCTTGGTGGCTATAACTTCAGCCAGGAGGGTGTCTGAGTTTAAGGCCTTAACTTCTGAGCCCCCGTACATGATCTTGTATAAGGACAAGGTGCAGTTGCAGCCACACCCAGCTTTTCTCCCAAAGGTAGTTTCACAATTCTACGCGAACTAGGACATATTTCTTCCAGTATTCTTTCCTAAGCTGCATGCTAGCCACCAGGAGCGAATACTCCACTCCTTGGCTGTCAGGTGAGCGTTAGTCTTTTACATCAAAAGAATGAAGCCTTTTTGGAAATCAATGCAACTCTTAATTGCGGAGCAGATGAAGAGACTTCCAGTGTCATCCCAAAGAATCTACTCCGGCAAGAAGGAACTGAAGAGGTGGCGGGTCGGCAGGGACCTATATACACTGCCACGAAGGTGCGACTCCAGGGGCTCCACAGCCGACCTGTTGGGTACTGTTATGGAAAAAACTTTCCGACGACTGTGAATGCGGCACACACACCTACTTGAAATGGACATGAGCAACATATCTCGAAAAACAACAGTTACGAGAAGGTAAGCAACCATTTTTTTCATTCATCTGTGTAAGTGTTGCACAATCTAACACTTAATTATGTAGAATGCCAACTGTAGAGCAGGTAAATTGAGCAGTGATTGGGATTTGAATTTTCTGGAGTTTCTTTTTCTCCCATTGAAGAATATACGTATATAATACCTTTTGTGATTCGCAATGACATTCATAGCTATGATCAGCTTTTTATTTCTTTTTACTTTACTACCATAACTCAGTTATTTATGGGCTTGCCTAGTAAAAAAAAAAAAAAAAGGGAAACAGAGACATATCAGTTATTACTCACACTTAGTAATCAAATTATTTTAGACTGCTAATACAATTTATTTTTTCTGCAAATAATTGGAAGTAAAGTGTAGTAATTTTTAGTAACCTATTTCTAAGCTAAACAATATTAACTGAACTATTCAGTAATTGAATTATGAAGTAAAATGTGTACAGTGTAATGGAATCAATATTTAATTATTATAAATTGCTCTGAATGGCTAAACCATGCTGCAGATTTCTGTAATACAGATATTTATTTATTACTTCAACGAAACTACCCATTGCATTGCATTTCTTTGCTCGGAGATATTTAGAAAATACATGTAAGCATGATTTATAATATATTATAGTGTGCCATTCACATAATGATTCAAGTAAGTGCAGCAGTCGCAGTAAAACACGGCTTAATTTATAAATATCTTGTAGGGAGGGCGAAAGAACCTTTTTAGTCCCAAGTACCTAATAGCCAATATTGCCTAAACTTAAATGTCATAGCTGAGTTTCCTCATAAACAAACCTTGCTTTACTACAGTTATGGCTGCTGTTAGTTTTAGTTCCTTTTTGAGAAGTGATTAAAAAGTATACCCTTAAGGACCCCAAAACATTAGAATTTAACAATGTTAACATTTTGTAACCAGTAACTCTTCTTGAGAAGTCCTACCATCACTGTATACAAAGTTAAGTCTCTACACCCAAGAAAAGCAGATTGCAGGTATCAGAAGTGACAGAAATGGGCCAGATCTCTCGACTTGCATATGAAAATGGATCTAAATAGAAAACTGAAGATAAAAGAGAAGTGTGAAGGGGCAAAGTGTCACATTGGTTTCAGCATTAAAATGTTTCTAAACTGCGTCCACTTTTAATAAATATTGTCTTGCATGTGAGTCTTCTCTGTTCTTTTTATAGTTTCACACTCCTATCTACTTTTATGGGAAAGTGTCTTTCTGCAGTTTAGTGGCATCAATCTCCAGTAATTTTTATTGATCTCTCTAAGGTAGTTCTGTTGTTGGCTTGTATTCTAAATGATTATCCTCCTGTTGGCCTTCAACATGCTGCAGCCAAAATGTCTCTTCCTTTCCTGATGCTTTAATTGTTGCCCTACTGGCTTCCTGTGTTTCCACATAAAGTTCATGCTCCTCCTCACTGTCAAGACTGTGTTGCATAGCTCTTGTCTCCATTTTTGACTTTTTTTCCTATTACACCTTCTTTTATGTTTTATTCTTTGCCAATCCTTGCCTGCTTTCGCCCAATCTTTCACCTCTTTCTCCCACTCATATCTTCATTCCTTTCATGTTACCTCCGATACTTGAAACAGCCTCACTGTCTAGTGGGCCTCACCACATTGTTCTCTTCCTAAAAGTGCCTTTTGTCTTCCCTCCCACCATTTATGACTTAAGTAAAAAACAAACAACCCCCCCAACCTAGTAAATATTTATATTCTATCAATTCTGTTGAAATCCAGTCAAATTCTGTTAAGATCCAATTACAAGATGCATGCCTAACCTCTACAATGTATATTGATGTAACTGGTGCATCTAGACCCTCCTTCTCACTTTGTCTAACCTGGATTATAAACTCTTGGAAGCTGAGATTTGTCTTTTTAGCACCATTCACACCTATAGTGCAGCAGAAACAACAAAAACAAAATCTTATCTGCTCACAGACTGTCCAAGTGTACTGAATTTCTTGGTTACAGCACTTTTTAAAAAACATACCAGATTCTGATCACTGGCAGTCTGCAGTGGAGGCCAATATATGCAATAAGCAACTGCACCACTCTTTACTTCTCCCTGATGTCTTCCAAGACCTCAAGGGAGTCAAGTAGCGCAGAGCACCAGAAGGAAAGACAGCAGCTGTCATATCTTGAAACTACGCTGCCTCCTCTGCATGATGTTAGAAATCAACAGCTGGGGGCTCATTCTTCAGTTCATATCGAGATTCTTTAGATTCTGCAGTTTCAACAATTGATCCTTCCCTCCACCATCAGAAAAGAACATGAGACCCAGTGGGAGTGGAGGTGGGGAGGTAGGCGAGACAGCTATTGGGGAAGCATGGATGAAGTGTCCCTGGTTTTGTCTCAAAAGCTGAACGGTGCACTTGTTTGTTGTCATTCCTCTTTTGCAGTTGTCAGTATAATGTGTTCCAGGTTAATGGATAATGGAATTAATCTTTCCTGTATTTTTATTTCTAATTAGGATTCCTTCCCTATGATGTCAGTCCAGCATATAATCAAATGGCTTTACCCTTATAATGTTCTACTAGGAAAGGAAGGCAGGACTGCAGTAGAAGATGCATTAAAAGTGAGTACTGTGCATTTTATATACAAATCCCAGAGAGCAGTGAGTTACTACAATAGCCCCACTAAATTATAAGAAGACACCGAAGCAATGCTAATTATTTAAATAATATATGTTAATGCCGATATTAAAAAAAGTTTTTGAACAATACCTTCATAAACCAACAGATTTCATTAGATGATGAGTGTTTTATATCTTCTAGTGAATTTAGGCCACAGTTCACAGGTTCTTAAACACATGTATAACTTTAACAATGTATTAGTCCCATTGATACAATGTAACTACTCACATGTTTAAAGTGAGGCATGTGCTTAAGTGCCTTACTGAATCGGGGCCTTAGAGAGAAGATATTCATGAGGTAGGTCTTTGTCACTAAAATGGAAAATAATAATTTTCTAAAATTCATAAACGTCTTATAAAATTAATTGTAATTAAATTATTTCACATGAAAAATATTGAGTGTCTCATGATAATTCTACTAGTTTGTTTATCTTTATGGGCATTTGTGTCTGTTAAACCTTCAGTTAATCTATAGAGCTTTCTGAAATAATGCTGAACAAAAACCATCAAACGGAAAAAAAAAAAAAAAAAAAAAAGAAAGAGAAAATGCTTATTTTATCTCTCTTCTTTTCCCTGCCCACCTTCTCATCCCTCCAGCATTTTCATAGATTCATAGTCTTTTTCAGAGTCATTAGTTCCAGATAGAATTTCCCATCTTGTAAGTATGCCCTACATTCTTTTTTACTTTACATTTGGCCATATTGAAAGGCTTATTGTTTGCTTGTACCCAGTTTATTAAGCAATACAGGATCTGTCCTCTTCATTATTTACCACTCCCCCAATCTTCGTTTAATCTACCAACTTTATCAGTAATGATTTTGTTTTCTTCTGGGTCATTGATAAAAATATTAAAGAGCATAGGGCTGAGAATCAATCCCTGCAGAACTCAGCTAGAAACATACCCGCTCAGTGATGTTTGTCATTGACTGTTACATTTTGATGACATAAATCTGTTATCCAGATTTTGATAAATTTGCTGTGTGCCATATTGATTTTGTATTGTTCTAGGTTTTAATCAAAGTATTGTGTGGTACCAACACAAATGCCCTACAGAAGTCTAGATGCATTGCATCAGCACTGTTACCTTTATCACTCAAACTTGTAATTTCATCAGAGAGTATCAAGATTGTTTGACAAGATCTATTTTCCATAAACACATGTGGTTGGCATTAATTATATTACCATTTTTTAATTCTTTATTAATTGAGTCCTGTATCAGGTGTTCCATTATTTTGCCCAAGTTCAGTGTCAGGCTGACAGGCCTATAATTACCTGGGTCATTCCATTTGCCCTTTTTGGCACAACGTTTTCCCAGTCATCTGGAACTGCCCCAGTTTTCCAAGATCTATTTAAATCAATATTAACTGTTCAGAGAGGTCCTTGGAGAGGTCTTTTAAAACCCTTGGGTGTAAGTAATGTGTACCTCTTGACTTTAAAATGTCTTAATTTTTAATAGTGGGTATTTAATATCCTGCTTAGTTAATGCTGGAATGGAAAGTATTTCATCATAGGATATGCATACATCATCTGGCTTTTTCCCATATATGGAACAGAAATATTTATTGAACACGTTTATCTTTTCTGCATTATTATTGACCATTTTACCCTTTCCATCTCATAATGGACCAATACCATTAGGGTACTTTTGCCCTGATACACTAAAAAAACATTTCTTATTGTCCTTAGCTATGTTAGTTGTAGATATTTCCTTGTGTCCTTTTGCTTCCTTTATCAATTTCTACAATTTCTAGGTTTAATTTATATTCATTGCTATCAACCTCTCCTTTCTTCCACCTTTTAAATTTATTTATTGCTTCTTTCACGTCCCTAAGCCAGTCTGGTTTTTAACCTGTGTAGTGTTCTTCCTCAGTTGTGTTTTTTTGGGAATTCAGTAAAATGTGTTTCAACATCTCTCAGTTAACAGTTATATTTTTTCTGTTTAAATTCTCCCAGCTGATTTGGCTCATAATTGTTTCCAGCTTTGTGAAACTGGTCCTTTTAAAAGTGCCCCGTATAGATATTACTGGTTGGAACTTTATTGTGTTTGCACATAACAAATATAGTTAAATCATGATCACTTGCACCAAAGCAACCATTAACTTTTAATTCTAAGATCATTTCCTCTTTATCTGACAAGATGAGGTCTAATATAGAATTCCTTTTATATTAGATGCAATGCTTTGTGAGTTAGGTAATTGTCATTTATACTACTTAGAAATTCCAAAGACGTTTTACTATTAGCAGCTTAAGACTTCCGGTTGAGTCGGGCAGGAAATGGTTTTTTCCTGTTTCTAATTGGGACAAAAAGTCAATCTTGGACATTTTTGTGAACTGAAAAATCCAGGAAAAAAATAATTAATTCAGATCAATCAGAATGTTTCAGTTTTGGCCATTTTTATTTTTTATTATAATTAGCTTAGATTTTGATACAGAAATTCATTTCAAACTGGAAGACTGGAATTTTTCATGTATAAAATGTCAAAACATTCTGAAACTATTTTCAACATTTTTTCGAGTCAAGAAATTCATTGAAACTGACCATTTACTGTGAAAAGTTTTGGTTTCTATTAACCTATTCGCTGATGAAAAGAAATTTCATTGAAAAATTCCCTACCAGCTCTAACCTCCAGCATTGTTACTCAGATTGAAGTCACACACGATAATGCTTTTTTTCCCCCTTACACGTTATATAGGTAGGTCCTGAAGGAGTCGGTTACCTTATTCTTGAATGTGATTTGGGGGTGTGTACCCATTTTGAGCTTTATCTGTTACATAGTCAGTATTCTCTTTAATTTCAATAAATTTTTTGAGTAATGATGGAAACTTTAAGGAGTCTGGTGATTGAAACTTTAATATATTCATGGCCAATCCTTTCTTTATGTTGTGATTTTTAATTTATGCTGTTGGCACCCAGAGCATTAGATAGAAATCTATAGTTGTATTTGAGAAATGTGAAGAAATAAAACGTTTCCTTCCCTTGTTATAATTGCACCTGGAAATGATGCTGTAATTATAAGAGTCTGTCAGCATTGCATGTGGAAATAGCTTTGGACCTGATCCAAAGTCTATTGAACTCAATGGGAGTCTTTTTGTTTACTTCAGTTAACTTTGCATCAGGGTCTCTAACTTGCCAATTAAAATCTTAGTTCAAGATGAAACTCAGAATGCACATTCTCAGCTTTTTTCTGTTGTTCTTCCAATGTTTAGTGATGGTTGAAATTGGTTCAGCTGTTAAAATAAAAATAGAATTGTTGGCAGTTTTGCACTAAAGTACACTTATGCTTTTTTTTAAAAAGTTCACGTTTAAACATGAAAAATTTGTAGCCTTTTAGTCCAGAATGTGAATCTATGAGAGTGAAGAGCCAAAGTATGTGTCTGATTATGTTACAAAAAATAATTGTGTTTCGAACCTTAATTTACAATGCTATGGTATCTTGTACAAATAAAGATACATCAATTTTATTCTTTGAAACACAGTTTTAATAAAAGCAATCGAATGCACCTAAAATAATGTGAAGCTTACTTTAATGTTTTCAAGAGACAAAGTGTGTGAAGTAATACCTTTTACTGGATCAACTTCTAGTGGTGAGAGAGTTTAGCTTACATAGAGCTCGAAAGCTTGTCTCTCTCACCATGGAAGTTAGTCCAATAAAAGATATTACACAACATGGCTATAACAACACTGCATCAAATGTTTTCATCACAGCAGCAATCTTCATTATCTGAATTACCAGACAGATATTTATCATGATATTTGAACTCTGAACCTTCATAACCTAGTTCCTACAGAATATCCTTTCACCTGCATGGAACATGAGGCTATGGCCAAGATGGCCAGCCAAATTTAAGATGCTCTGGAACCAATTTTTTAAAAATGAGTTAGGGTCCTTTTTGCTTCTTGATTATGTAGAAAAAAGACCAAAAATCATTTCCCAAATAAGTGTGGGTTAGGTTTTTTACTTGTTTTTTACCTCTGAAATAGCAGGTTTTATGGGAGGACTTTTTGGGGAGTCTTAGGCCTGGTCTACATTAGGAAGTTAAGTCAGTTTAATTACTTCTGTCAGGGATACGAAAAATCCACACCTCATTGTGGCTTAGTTAAGCTGACCTAAGTCCCCAGTGGAATCATTCCGTCAGCCTGGCTATTGCCTCTTGGGAAGATGGATTAACTACAGCGATGGGAGAATCCATCCCATCAGCATAGGTAACATCTACATTAAAGCCTTACAGTGGCACAGCTGTGTTGCTGTCGTATTTTAAGTGTAGACAAGTCTTTGGATGTATGTGGCGAACGCTCACACCTTTATTGAAGTGTGTGTTTGTGCGCGTGCGTGTTGAATCTTTCACATGGACATATCCTCTCTTGGAAGTGTTCATTAGGCACTAGAGTTAAAGAGGTGTTAAGAAAAAAACAAACCGTAGTTTAAAAAATCTGACTCAAAATCCCTTGCTCTCTATTACCTAGCTTTCACTCCTGCATACAGTGTAGAGTGATGGAGGGCAGAGGTGGTGGTAAAATGGGCAAAAAGGCAATATTTCTTCCTTGGCCTATTAAAGGCTATATAATAAAAGTGTCTTGTGTGTTGGGAGCCCTCAACTTTCATTACACACAAGGCTGTTAAACTAAATAAGCATCTTAACTTGATGCATATTTTTTTTTAAGCTGGATGTTTCTAATACCCAAGTGGTCATAATAGCCCTCAAAGATAAATGGTGTGGGAACATACGTGCTGGAGGCTTGGAACTTCATTTCAGTCTGTCTGGCTTCAAAATCAACAAGTCAGCAGTGGGAAGTTATATCGTTAGGGCTATCTTGCAATCAGAATATCCTAGATTTTTTTTTATTTAGAAAAGAAACTTCAAAATCTATATAACAGAAAATTCTATACCAAGATCTGGAATTCATGGATTTTTCAGAATTCACGGATTTCTGTTGTCCCATCTCATGACTTAGTTTAATTTGTTTGACAAGAGGAGCAGCAAGCTAATAGTTGAATAGAGAACACTTAGTAGATACATACTGATGTTAGCATCTTACAAGGTCCATTTTAACTTTTCCAGTATTAAGTTTCTTACAGCAAATGGATATTGAACTTCAGAAGAAATTAGTCTTGCATCAATTTCTGCCATGTTTTTAGTGGAAACATTTAAAAACATAGTACTATATTAAATAATTACTACTTTCTCAATTTTTACAGCGTTTTGAGCTCCAGGATTCAGAAAGCCCTTTGCTTCCCAGTAGGATTAAAAAAGTGGAACAAATACATGGAAGCAAGACCTTACAGGCTGATGTAACTGTCCAGATTGCTGAAAAAGAAGTGAAATTCCAGGTAATGATTTACAGGTTCAACAAGCTATATCAGGGTGGGCAAACTGGGAATAGAAATTGTATGGCGGGCCACGAATGCTCACAAAATTGTGGTTGGTGTGTGGGAGGGGGTGTGGGCTCTGGTTGGGGGTGTGGGCTTCGGGGTGGGGCTAGAAATGAGGAGTTCAGGGTGCGGGAGGAGATGCTAGGTTGGGGCAGGGGAGTGGGGTGCGGGGGGGTCAGGGTTCTGGCTGGGGGTGCGGGCTCTGGAGTGGGGCTAGGTATAAGGGGTTTGGGGTGCAGGAGGGTGCTCTGGGCTGGTATCGAAGGGTTCAGAGGGCAGGAGGGGGATCAGGGCTGGGGCAGGGGGTTGGGGCGCGGGGAGAGGCTCAGGGGTGCAGGCTCTGGGCAGCACTTACCTCAAAGGCTCCTGGAAGCAGCGGCATTTCCCTTCTCTGGCTCCTACGTAGCTCTGCATGCTGCCCCGTCCGCAGGCACCGCCCCTGCTGCTCCCATTGGCTGAGGTTACCGGCCAATGGGAGCTGCAGAGGCAGTGCTTGAGGCGGGGGCAGTGTGCAGAGCAGAGGCCTCTGGCTTCCCCTACGTGTAGGAGCTGGAGCGGGGCCATGCGGCTGCTTCCAGGAGCCACGTGGAGTGGCCCCTGACCCTGCTCCCCGGCTGGGGTGCTGGAGCAGGGCAAGCCCCAGACCCTGCACCCTAGCGGGAGCTCAAGAGTTAGATTAAAATGGCTTGCGGGCCGTATCCAGCCCGCGGGCTGTAGTTTTCCCACCCCGAGCTATATTCTTGGTTTCATATCACTACTGCAAATTTGTTACGCTACTTTCTGTTGACTCTCACCTACATTTAATGCTCAAAGTTGATAAGGAATTTGACTGAGAGCCTCGATGAATATCCACTTTTTATGGTAATTTTTTAGCAAATGTCATTTATGAACTGGAGAGTATTCGATTATGGAAAAGTAAGGCTTTATTTTCAGGTAACTCGTGCAGTTTTCTATGTGGTTATTTTTTCAGCAACATGATCTATTTATTTCATCAATTACTAAAGTGTTGGTGGAAAAGTACTTTCTTGATTCCTTATTTTGGGTTGTGCCATGGAATAACATAATACAAAGCATATGTGATGCTCTTGGGGGTATCTTCTATATAGTTACGTTTTTCTGAAAGAATCATTTTTTTCACTATATCTTTAAATAAAAACAATAGTAGTTTCTTTCCTTTTGTCCTCCACATCAAATAAAATGTGCTTAGTAACATTATTCCAACACAGGATGTTGAATCAGAAAACGGAGCAAAAGTCTTCATATTAATCACATCAAATACAGTTAGTCTGAATTTCTTCCTGTGAAGCTTATGGTCTGTTGGGTGGAGAAATAAGGCATTTTTTAAGAAACGCATGTTGATCTGAGTTTAAAGTAGGGGTTGAATTCAGTGAGACTGAGGTATCTGTGTAATAGAGGAGAGTTAGTAGGAGGCAGAAAGAGATCTGAGTCACACTGGGGAGGGATGACTTCAGAGAATTTGTACGATGGAAGTGAAGAAGGAGGTTGGAGAGCAGGAGCAAATTGGGTAGAAGCTGATTGGAGAGCTGCTCTGAAGGAAATAGTTAGCTTCATTAGGCACTGTGGTGAACTGAGAGTTGATTGAGGAGTTTCTCTGAGGAATGAATGGCCTCTTTGGGAACAAGGGTAGAGGAGGAATTTGAGGGGAAGCAGTGACCAGTGTGAGTGGGGAAAGAGCAACAGAATGTAGTAGTTTAAGCAGGGGTTAAACTGGAGGAAAAACAAGTGTTTCTATTCTGCAAAGCTCTGCCCACTTATAACACCAGAGTGAGATTTCCCTCCAAGTGGATTGTTCATATCTTCACCATAGATCATTTCTCCTCTTTCTTACCCCCAATCTGCAATAAATGATTACAGGGCTCACTTTGTAATTGGGTTTCAGCGTTAATACCCTATTGAGGTGAGTCAGAGTCCTCTCAGGACTATTGATTCATGTTGCCTGCAAACCAAATCCAAAACCGTTGCGTTGATTTACATTTGATTCCTATTTCATGGCAGATTTATTTATTTATTTTGCAACCACAAGCCATAAAGGCGATTTTTTTTTTTTTTAAAGATTTAGATTCTGGAGCACAAGAATGCAGTCACCAGTGAAATGTTACAGGGTTACTGACCCAGTGTAAACCAATCTGCCCCCGAGCCTAAACCACTTTCATATAACTTGTTTATCTTTTGTCTCCTTGTAGGTCCCAGCTGGGACTAGACCATTAAAACTGTGTTCTGGATCAGACACTTTCATAGAGACTTCCAGCCATAAGCAGCTGTTGGCAGAAATGATGCAGTCACATATGGTTAAGGATATGTGTTTGATAGGCGGAAAAGTAAGAACTGTAAATTTCTTTTCCTTTTTTTCCCCTCCTTGCAAGATATTTTGAATCTAATTCCTTAATTTTTATTTCATTTTATTTTTTACTTTATAGGGCTGTGGCAAAACAGTTATTGCTAAGGAGTTTGCCAATATGTTAGGATACAACATAGAGCCTGTCATGCTGTATCAGGTAAAGTAAATTATACAGTGGTGCGTATGCCTTACAAATGGTCTGAAACATGAAATACATAGGTTACAGATGAAAGAAACTAGATGGAATCTCTGTGTAAGGTACAGCCTTTGAAAAATCATTCATCTAAGGAAAGAAGCAAAAGTAATATAAGAATGAAAGGAAAGTAGTTCTTGAGATACTTTGCTCACTTGCTGTCAGAATACTGAGCTGGAGAGTCTCTTCCAATTTGCAAGACTACATAGAGAGATTATTATATAGAGTGTAGTATGAAAATCTAAGGTAGGTTACTATGTGTATAGGGCCGGATGCTAATTCCCATGAAGTCAGTAGCACAGCTCCCACTGACTTCACGCTCTTAGTAGAGATAGGAAGAGAGAACTTCAGTGAGTGGAGTGTAAAGAGATTTGTTCAATAAAGTAAATTATGATATTTCTTAGTTGCAAAGAGCTGACAGCTGGTGCTGTGAATTAGCATAACTTAGTGTTATGCTTTCTTTCTAGTCTTTGGATGTTGTTCTCCTAAGTGTGTTTCCTGCCTTTGGGTCTAAATGGTGGCCAGTTGTTTTGGCATATTTACAGGCCCTGGCAGACCTTTTCACCTTCCTTTTTTTTTGTCCGTCCGTATGCTATACAATTGTGAAATGGAATTCTCCACCATCTACATTTTTGTATTCTGGAAGGCAGCTTCTTTATTGTGATGAAAATGCATAATTGCTTTTATGTTTTGAGGAGCTTCTTTTTTGTGTTACTTTTTATGTTCTATATACTTCGGGGGGAGTTTTGCGATACTACACATGTGCAGAATTCATGTCCCGGGTAGAATTTTTTTTTCTCTGCAGAAAATACATTCTGCTGGAGAGGTGCTGCAGTTATGCCTTTTGCCCACCAGGGGCTGGTGTGTCGCCAGAACAGAGAACAGCCGCACCCGGGTGGGATCAGCCCCAGCGGCAGGTAGGGAAGAGAAGCAGCTGGGTTCCTCACAGCACCCTGCTTGTAGGGCCAGTTCAGGAGGCATGGGATATGGGGGAGATGGACAGCATGGGGTTCATGGGATTGCTGGGGGGTCACAGACTGGGGTTCACAAGGGCTAATTGGAGGGGGACAGACTGGGAGTGGGGTTGTGGGGACATGGGGGAGGGGGTAGTTGAGTGGGGATTCAGGGACACATGGGGATGGGGGAGGGGCGCAGGGACATATGGGAACAGGGGCAGATGTGCCTGACAATGAGAGAGGCTAGGGATCAGTCAGGGTCTGCATGCGGGAGGCTCCCTAACAACCCCATCCCCCTAAAACCTCCAAAACTTCCATACTTCTCCCACTCACACCCAACAACCCTCCAAGTTCACACCCCAGCTCCTTCCCAACAATTACTTCCCTCTCCCTCAGCTCCTCTGTTATCCTTGACTCTCCCAAGCATTTGCACTGCCTCTGAGTGGTGTAGGAAATGCGTTTATGTATTGTAGTTTAAATGAATTATTACTCCGAGTTCTGTATTAATAGGCCTAGTAAGGAATCTATTTGTCAAAAAACATTTTCTGAATCTTTTTTGTTGTCTGTATTGTTACAGACATACTTGCTGACAGGTGTTTTGAAATAAATTACCAAAATAATTGAAACCGGCATGATTATATTGTGTTGTTTTGACAAAATATGCAGAATTTTAGAGCATTTTAAAATATTGTGCACAGAATTTTTAATTTTTTGGCACATAATTCCCCCAGGAGTATGTTTCTTTGTTCAGATTCCATCATAATCTCATATTGTCTTACATATTTACTTTAAACCACTACTATTTGATTTTTGTCATGATTCTTGTTGTTTAATGTTTATATTAAATATAATACAGATCCCAGTCGGGATTGGGGCTCTGTTGTGGTGGGTTCTAGAAAAACACATTCAAGGATACGGTACCTCACTCTCAGAGCTTAGAATCTAAGATGAGAAGTGACTTATGAAGTGTAGGTGGAAGGGAGTAGAGAAAGATTAATCAAATATATACAATTTTTATAGAAATTGACATTTTTTCATTGTAAATAGATAATGTGCCACTCTCTCTTTCAGTCCATCAGCCTAGCCATCATTAATTGACTGATTACCTATGTGTTGTGTCAGAGGTGGGTCTTGAGGAGAGATTTGGAGAACAAGATTGACGATTTACAGAGCAGTTCAGGGAAGGGATGGAAAAAGGTACAGAGACATTTTTGCAAGAAGCTGACAAATGGATGGCTTTGTTGGTTGACTGTAGGAGGCATGGGACAATGATCTCACTACACGTTAAGCAGTGTCTGGCTTGCAGGAAAAGGTGTTTGGCCAATTTAAGGGGTAGAGAGCCAGACTGACTAGCTGCGATAGCGTTAGACCGGGTCATCATGGGAACACTGGCCCATTCCCCCTGCCAGGTGGCCAGAAGAGAGGAGGGAACAATGCAGGTCCATACCGGTGCAGGAAAAGCACACCTTTACCTGGACCATGCAAAGCAGCACCCACCGTCCCTCCTGTGAATGTAGTTAAATATCAGGTTTTGTCATGATTTGCTGCGGGTATTATGTTAGTTGCTTTTTTCTTGGGGGGCTGAGAAAGGCTTTTTCTCTCACCGTCAGATTGGCCAAGACAAGGTATGGGGTGGGTTTTGCCTTCTCTATAGCAGGTTGGGGACTTAGTTAGGGCAAACATGAAACGGGGATTGCAACTAAGATGTTGCAACTCATTATGTCAATGCAAGGTGGATTTAGTGCAAGTACTTGCTGCAATTTAAGCCCATTGCTTCTTGTCCTATCCTCAGAGATTAAAAGAACAATTTTTTCACCCTCCTCCTTGTAACAACTTTTTATGTACTAGAAAATTGTTATCATGTCCCCCATGGCCTTCTTGTCTCCAGACTAAACAAACCAAAGTTTTTCAATCTTCCCTTATCAGTCATGTTTTCTAGACCTTTAATCATTTTTATTGCTCTCGTCTGCACTATTGCTCCAATTTGTCCACATCTTTCCTGAAAACTGGACACAATACTCCAGTTAAGGCCTTATCAGGGTGGAGTAGAGTGGAAGATTTACTTCTTGTGTCTTGCTTACAACACTCCTGCTGATACATCCCTGAATTATGTTAGCCTTTTTTTTTTTTTTTGGCAACAGTGTTACACTGTTGACTCATATTTAGCTTGTGATCTACTATAACCCCAGATGTCTTTCTGTTGTACTGCTTCCTAGACTCATTTCTCTTTTATCTTCATCCCCTTCATCTCCAACATTCAACAGAGTGCTGGGCAGCCAGCAACAGTCACTCTTCTTTGTCACAGGGACAGTATTGCCAACATCAAGTAGTCAAAAACCATGAATCAGGCCCCCAAAACCATGAGATTGGCTTAAAAATCATGGTATGTTAGCAGAAAAGATGGACTTTTTATTTGTTTTCTGGTTTTTGAGCGTTTAAAGTTCATGTTTTCAAGTTTCTTTCTGCAGCCATGAGGGCTAGAGATTTTTTTTTTTAAGGAAGCTGAGATTCTCATAATCATGTGGCTAAAAGAGTTGGGGCTTTAAGAAGAATGTAAAATATCACAAGACTCTTCATAACATAGAGGTAGTTGGCTGTGATAGCAGGTGATAGCAATAGTGGCAGCTTGTATGGAGGTGAAGGGAGTGAGGGTGAGAAGGGACTTTCGAGCTTACATAGGGCTGTCAAAGTTGGTCAGTATAGGAGGGCCCACCCACAATATTCCTTCCCAGAAGTGTTCTGCCTCTGCAGTAGCCATGTGTGGCAATTTCTGAGGTCCTACTTTTTACCTACCACTGTTTCTTCTTGCTGGGGATCCCAGCAGTACCTTTTCCTTGTCTTCTCTCATTCTCTTTATCTCATTCAGTTTTTCTCCTTCCTTTATCTCTGCATCTCTCTCTCTCTCTCTCTTTTTCCCTTCAGTACAGAGTGCCTGAGCCTCTGGCTAGGGAGTTGCTGCAGCTGGATTCCAGATGGTAGGTTGTAAGAGACTCCTGCCAGTGTAACAAGCGTGGGGGCAGTTTTTTCCCCTCCCTCAGTGGATGGACCCAAGTATGTTTCTTGCTCACAGGCCCCCAACCCCATCGTGGCCCTGCTTGAGCTTGGTGAAGAGGAGAGCCAATGACCTGCCAAGTGTCCCCCGTGGGAATGGAGGGGAGGAGGTGGGAGAAAAGGTCTCAGTAGTGTCTAACTTAAATTCTCTTTTCAAATGACAGTGAAATAAAAAGAAAGAGATTTTCTATCTTATTCCAGAAATAATAAATCTCTCTTTAAATTGCTAAATTATAGTCAGCAAATCTCAAATTACAAACAGTAATTTAACAAAGAATATTTACTCCTGTTAGAATGGATATATGTGTTATTACATCCTGAAATCTGACTATGTATTCTCAAATAGCTCTCTATTTGAGCACATTTGGTAAAGTAAAGAATCATTAGACAAGTAAATATTATTATAAAAAAGAAAAAGCAGCTCACGCAAACCCTGCCTGAAACTGAAATCTGGCATATCTCTGCCTACGGACCATACTTAAATTTTAGATCTTTAACATAGAAAGGTTGACAGGAACATATTTGGAAAAATTGCAAATCCACAGCTGATGTCTGTTCTGAGTCTGACAAGTTATTCCCTGGTCACCATCTTTTGTCATTTTCTGTCACATAATTTTGCAGGATAGAAAATGGCTGTGGGGTATTTCTCAGTGTTAAGGTTTGATTCCCCGTCCCTGCACTGTCTTTTTTCTTGTCTATAAAAATAGGCCTTAAATAAAAGAATATGAAAAATATATCTTCCTTCAGAAGGAAGGTATTCAGAATCATCTGAAGGGTTCTGCTTTGAATGAGACACAAGTCAAAATCAACCTGTGGCACATCAACATCTTCAGGGCATTCCATATCTTCAAGGCATTCCATATGTTCAGGCATGCCAGTAAAGGAAATGTGATGGGAGAAGACTTCCAGCACTGACCAATATCTGAATAAAACTAAAAACACTAAACTCTATAGAAA